GAGGCGGCGCAGCCCGGCCTTCCCAGGCCCAGCGGGGAGGCGGCGCAGCCTGGCCTGCCCGGGCCCTTGTATAGCCCACACCCATCTATTTTTTGTAAAAACGTGCATACCCCATGGGATGTATGCATGAAAATACAGTACTTCCGATCTACTTCCAGGTCTGCCGCTGAGCATGCGGGGGACCCCCCTGTGCCCTCCCAGCTCAGTGATTGGCCGCAGGGGGACCCCAGGTGCCCCCCCCCAACCCTGGAGGCACCAGTCACTGAGCCAGGGGATGGGGAGAATCCCCTGCACACTTTATGGTAGATCTAGAAGTGGACCAGAAGCGCTTCTGGTCCACTTCTGGGTACGCTGCCAAGTGTGCTAGGGATGCTCCCATGGGATACTTCATCTGCCCTGGCATCTGTGTGTTCATGAGCCCCACCTGGTACCTTGAGGTATGTAGAAAAAACATTTAAAGCTGTGTCTATGTCCGAATCATCAAATCTTTCTGAATCGATTCAGAAGGTTCTGATTTGATTTGGAGAGATTAAAGGGTCTCCTGATTCGGTTCGGATTCAGAGATTCGGCCACCAAATCAAATCAGCGACTGAAGCTTTGCACCGCCCTAATGATTTATTCTTACCTTCTCCTGTTTGAGGGTATATTTTTCCCTTGCTTGTAATTTACTTTAAGAGCTTTCTGTCTTGCTCAATATTATACCTTAACTAGCCAATTCCCTGTCAAGAATGACCGGGGTGGGGAGGGCTGCAGGCGGGAACAGAGGCCTGTGTCTGGCCCCTCTACCGCCCCACCTTCAGGACTGGACCCCCCCCGACGTTGCTGTTGTGGAGCTGGGTTGGGCCTGGCGCCTCATGGAACCCCCGCCCACTGCCGTTTTGAGAGCGCGCCAGCTGGGTCTGCTTCCCCCATCCCCCCATCCACCTGGCCCGTGTCTCCCTGCCTCCCCTCCCCGTGATTGAGGCAGGGTGAGATGCGGATGGAGCGCTGCCACCCAGCAGTCCATGTCGCCACCACCACATCCCAGGAGACAGGCAGCAGGGGGTAAGGCCAGCACTGCTGGCCTCATCCCCCACAATGTCTGCTCCATTGTTGCCGCCTCCTTCCAATGCCACCTGCTCCTTGCCCTCTGTACCCGCCATCATGGTGACGTCCAGACCTGCTCTTCCCCCTCCTTGTTGGACCTGCAGCAGCGGCACAACTGTTCCCACCCCCCTCACACTGCTGCCGCTTCCACCTCCTGTGTGGAGCATAGCGAGGGAGGAGGGCCTCAGCCCCCACATCCCTGCTGTCCTTTCTGTCATGGCAGCAGTCCACCACCACTTGCAGTCCAAATACTCTTGGAGCACTCTGACTGCTGAGACAGCCAGTCAGAATGCAAATTAAGTGTTATAGACAAACTAAGGCTTTTATAATATTAGAATTTTCTCCTTGGTTGGCCTACATAGGAGGAGAAAAATTAGTTCACCTAAGTCTATCACAAAATGACTATGAACCACCATTATGGCGGCAGTGAAAAGGGCAAAATGCTACTCCTTTATCACATCTGGTGAGGTATTTCCGGTAGAGAAAGGAATGTATTATACCATTGTTCAAGGCACTAGTGGCACCTCATCTGAAATACTGGTATGCTTTTGGTCACCATTTTCAAGGAAGATGAGAATTCAAAATAGACTAGGTGTAGAAAGAAGATATTATGATGATCAGGAAAGAGTAGAGTCTCTTATATGAGAGGAGATGAAGGCCATGGATCCATAAATGTAGTATCTTTTGAAATTCCAGCTGTTACAAGGAAGAAAATGATATAAAAATGTGAAACTTGTCTGGTTCCAATCCAGGGTAATTTCCTGAGGGAAGTATTTGTTTGTATACAGTTGCCCCGATGCTGTTACTTCTCTGTTTATGCCCCAAGGTTCCCTCTCTTGGGGCAACTGCATTCCTGTAGGCATGGCATAAAAAAACTTGGCCTATTTAATTTAGTGTGGTGGTTCTTAACCTTGTTGGACTCAGTGCCCCCAGCTCTTTGCTTTTATTCAGTTTTGACTATGGAAAAATAATAGAGCAGTTTGAGTGCTTTGTTAACAGAAGGACCACAGCATTTCACAGTGTCTTGGATGCTGTGGATTCCTATTTGAAGACCTTGGATTTATCTTGTGAATTGTGTAGGCGTTTACACACTCAGCCTGCTAATATTGTTTGGACAAGGTTTTTTGGGTAAATGCGATATCTTATTAGACCAACTAAATAGTTGGAAAAATTGTTCTTTGCAAGCTTTTGGGCGCGCACACCCTTCTTCAGGCATAGGGAGAACTAAGAAATGCACAGACCAGCATACATATTTTACATCAGTATTTGACTGAAATAAAAACTAATTGGTGAATTGATTAATAAAGTAAATATTTGCATATTTAACACACAGTTTTATGTTTTGTTCAAGACTTAATGAAGAGGCACGGAAACTTATTGCTGAATTGGGAAGCACATCCATTAACAACCTTGGTTTTAGAGACAACTGGGTCTTTTGTGGTGGAAAAGGAATTAAGACTAAAAGTCCATTTGAACAGGTTTGTTCAAAAGCTAATAACTTTTCAGAGTTTAGTAAGTCATTTTACACTAGCAAGGGATTAGTATATTTAGAAGTACCACTTACTGGTTCATGTTTTGAACATACTAAAGTGTATTATTTTACTTTATTAATTAGCATGTAAAGTTTTTCATAAAGTATTTAATTTGTTTCCTCCTTTTAAATATACAGAAGTCTGCTTCAGTATGCACTTCAGAAAAAAATATATGGAGATCTATACTTAAATGGATGATTTAAGGACATAGATAGACTTATAATTGCATCATTTTGAAGGGGGAGGAAAATACTACCACTCAGGACCATACGAAAACCAGTTTGGTGCAGTTGTTTCATCTGCCTTTCCATTCCTCCACTAAGTGACACAAAACTGCTGCTTAGTTGACCATTTTTCATTTAAGGGTAATTGCCCTGATTTAACTTGCACTTCAACTTTCATGGACAAAACTGTCAAACTGGGCTCAGCTGCACTGAAGAAATTCTACTGCCTTTCCATCTGCTTTAGTGCAGTTGTTTCATCTGCCTGTGCCTTAAAACTCTAATGCGGCTTGGCTTTTCTCTTTGTAAAAGCATAGTGTTAGACCAAAATTCATGTGCCTGAAGTTCCTGGTTGAAATAAGTAATCTAATATTCCAAAGTGTTAAGCAGAAAATGTTTCTAGAACACTTCTGAAAATCCAGCTACTTGTTTCAGTGCTTTGTCTTCCTAAATTGATAGTGTCCAGTTGTACTTTAAATTTATGGTTGTTGCCTTATATTCTAATATGGTGGTTTTAGTACTGTTTTTAATTAGTGCTCATGTTAAACCTGAGATTTTTATATAGAGGAGTACAAGTCAACTCTTTATTTATAGGCAAAAATAAACTTGAAATCATTCTGCCACCTCTGTGAATCGCCAGCGATAGTTGTATTTGATACCACATATGAAAGAAAAAAAACATTGTGCTTATTTGCATGTTTTTTCCTGAATCCTCAAATTTCAATTTGGGAATCGCCTACTATTCGTTTCTTTACAATAGCTTTTTAGGTAAAAGTAGCAGAACAAATTATTTTTATCTTAACAATAGGTTCTTTTCTATTTGTAGCATATAAAGAACAACAAGGACACAAACAAATATGAAGGCTGGCCAGAAGTTGTTGAGATGGAAGGCTGCATCCCTCAGAAGCAAGACTAAAACAAAAAGATATAAAAGAGACAATGTGGAAGAAAATGCACTTTCTGTTATTCTTAGGGAGAGGGATCTGAAGGAGAATACTGTGTAATGTAAATATTTTTAAAGCATGCATCCATCTTATGAGTGTGCGCATGAGCATTGACATTTTGAATATCGGGATTATTTATTGCTGACAGAGAGAAGTCTTTTTGTAAATAAATCCAGATTAAATAAAACTGAATAGTTTCTAAACAGTTTTCCTAAGAGCACAGCGTTTGATTTGCCGATAGTAAATAATAACTTTTAGATCTACTGGCTAAGCAGTTGAGTATTCCCAGTAATAAACATATTGGAAAGGATGCTGTACTGTCCTCTAACAGTGTAAATGTTACCTGTGAGTTGCATAACCTTTGTGGAAAATGTAGATTTTAGTGTGAAATTAATAAAGAGCTTTAATTTTTTATCCTCTGCCTTTTTGATGGCAGTATCACTTTCTATTAAAGATAAATTCGGTTACTCTAGTACTATGTGCTCTAGAATTTTGTTTTCCGACTTCCCACCCCAAATCTAATAATCGGCAAAAGCAAAATACTTGATATCAAAATGTACATCAGCTGTGAGAAGCACAATTAAGTTCTTTTTATTATGAAAAAGCAAAAATAAATATATAAATGCTTGTACATGATATTTAAAAACTGCTTGGAAGGATTTGTGTTTAACAAGGAAGTAGTGTTTACTGTGTAGAAGCTACTTGGCTTGATAATGTCTTGGCACTGTTAAGCCACTCAGTACTAGGACTAAATTGTTCAGTTTTTATTACGACTTTTTGTACCTGCTGCCTGACTATCAATTCTACCTAGAGCTACTTGGCAATACTAATTAGAAAAATGATAGAACTGCATCATGAAATGCCTTCCTGTTTAAGTTCTAATAGGGACTAAATTTCCCAGTGCATAATGCATGTTAGATAGTAGGCTGACACCTGATAAGAATTAAGTGAACCTATACAGTTTTGCATAGCTTCACTACCTGTACTACTTTTAATGTGAACTGAAATGATCACTGCTTAGAATGGGATGCTACAGAATGCATCACATTTTAAGATATTCATCTTATGGTACTCAATGTAGACTAATAATGCTTTCTTCAACCCCTTTAAAAAACTGGACCAAGTCAAAGTGGCCTTATTCCCTAGCTCATAGTAGAATAAACAACATCAAACCTTTTCATAGAAAGTTATGTTTTTTAATTGCTTTTGGATTTTAGTTTAGCAAGCTTTGAATGTTTTCTGAAAATGAAGTGAGCACAGGGAAACTGACAATGCAGGTGATCACTGTGTAGAGACTAACAATTTTGTGTAATCTCTTGGAATCTGTTGCAAACAGAATTCTGACAGAGCTGTTCAATCCCTTTGATACCATGAGGGAGAGATTTACAGGAACTGCAAGTGAATCAAAACAAATACTGCTCAAATGCTATATAATCAGCGACTTCTAAGACTAACCTAAAATTATTTGCACTAAAAATTTACAGCAATATTGGGAATGAGTACTTTGTTATATAGCTCAAAATAAATATCCACCTCTCATACAGAAATGAGGACAACTGGAATTTGAGTTGTTTTGTATGCCTAATTAGCCTATTATGCATTTTTTCTCATGTTCAATGTAGAACAGCAATAAATGCACCTTATACAGTTAAATCATTTATTTGTAAAACATCATGCAGATTTTTTGTTCTTATTTAGGAGAAATTGCATCACATGTCAATATCATGTATATTTTTTTCATCAAATAAAGTGAAAATCCCTTCTGTTCTATAAACTGGAAGCTAACTTTTTATTTAACATTGTAAGGTTATCTAAGGAAAGTAACTGTATAGACAACAAAATTTCCAGGAAATAAGATTTCTGTATTGTCAGTATTCCATGATTCATTATACTAATCTTTAAGATAATGTTTGGAACAATATAGAAGATATATGGTACTTGAGATGGGATATAAAAATAATTCCTTAAGTCTTCATTATTAGTCTTCCTAGTCTGTTGTCTTAAATAGCGTATGTTTAGATCTCTGAATTTATTAGGCCACTCACTAAATATGGCAGGCATTTCATTTTCACAATTATTCTAAAATATTAAATACTTAGCATTGCTATCCCCTTGTTAAATTAATCAGTCTGATCACAGTCATTTTTTTGTGAAGACTGAGGCTAAGGAGGCAATAGAATACTTTAACCTTTTGTATCATCCATTATTTGCTTTCTGCCTCTGTTAAGTAAGTAATGGTTGTATACTTTGTTTTCCTTTTTCTTTTAACTTATAGAGTCTTTACTTTTACATCTCTTGGTAGTTGTACCTCATTTTACATTCTAGCCTTTCTGATTTTATCCCAACATTCTTGTGCTGTTCCTTTATATTCATCCTTGGTCATATTCTTATTTAGACTTTTTATATGAAGCCTTTTTAATTTTTTTTTTCCTTAATGACCTAATGCCTCAGCCAAAATGGACTCTTGCTGTTGTTTCATATCTTCTCTACATCAGAATAACTTGTCATTGTGCCTTTTTAATACATTTTCTTTCTACTGCTGTCTACTGTCTTCCTTTATCCACTTATATGGTCTTCCCAACCAGTTCTCTGCCTTTTGATCCCAATACTATGCAGCAGTTCTTAAGGAAAATGGAAAGGGACTTCAGGGGGTGGAACACCATCTTCCTCTTCCCACAGTGCCTCTGTGGCCCCAGGTAGCTTTCTTTATCCTGGATGTTTCTACATGCAAACTATGGATAAATTCTTTGGCCTCTGGCATATGTTAAAACAGTGGTGCAATGGGCATGCCATGACATTTGAGAGAGGACAAAAAAGTCCTCTGAACCAAATCACACTACTGCAGCCCATAGATTGGGCAGGGAGCAGTTCTCTCCTGGATCCATGACTGCCCTAGCCTGATCTTGGAGATAAGGTTGGGGATAGCCCTGGGCCCTGGGGCAGTCAAGTGTCATGTTGGCATTGGCCCCAAACAGCATCAGTTCCCATTCCAGACCTGGGGCCAGGGCTAATAATCAAGTGATTTTTCAGCACCAGACCCAGACCAAAGCCCCAAGACTATTGGAGACCTAGAGCAGAATTGGGCCAGGGCTTACAAATAGTTAAGTGTCAGCCCTGGTCCTGGACAGTTCTGCATTCAGTCCAGTTCAAGGGTTTCCCCTGCTGTGGACTTTAAACCTCAGGGTTGCTGGGCAAGAGGGATCAGAAGCTCCCCCATGAAGCTGCCTCATGCAGGGGTTTAAACTCCTCTACAAGATTGTCAGTACTTCAGCCTGGCAACCTGGGCTACCCAGGGCTGGTTTCAACAATAAGCTCATTGTTGGGCATTTGCTTCATCAGCTCTGGTGTGTGAACATGCCACATGTTAATTTAAGACCCATACAAACCAGCCATAAAAATGCTCTACATATTTTATGGCACCTTAATTTGGGTGCTCGTATACCTGCTTGCTATTGACTATGTATTTAGCAAATTAATTGTATTCCAGGATGCTTTGCAACCAAGCCATTTCCTTCTGCAGCTCAGAAGAAGCTAATGTCTTTATTTATATCTTTTATAAGTATAAACGATAAAAATGTCTCCATTTTTCTGGGCGGGGACTGGGACATCCCCCGCCAACACTGGGATTCCGGATAGACTCAGGATAGGCACAGCCAGGCCCAGGGTCAGAGAGGACCGAGTTAGGGAACATCTGGTGGGGCTGGACATGTTCAAATCAGCAGGTCCAAATGATCTCCACCCCAGGGTGCTGAGGGAGTTGGCAGAGGTCATTGCGGGACCCCTGGCACAGCTTTACAAGCACTCGTGCTGCTCTGGCCGGGTGCCAGAGGACTGGAAAAGGGCCAATGTGGTCCCCATTTTCAAAAAGGGGAGGAAGGAGAACCCAGGAAACTATAGGCCTGGTAGTCTTACCTCAGTCCTGGGGAAGCTCTTCTGAGAAAATTATCCAGGTGCACATCTGCAAGGGACCAGCAGGGGAGATTATTGTTGGGGGCAACCAACATGGGTTCACTAGAGGCAGGTCCTGTCAAACCAACCTGGTGGCCTTCTATGACTAGGTCACAAAATCCTTGGACATGGGTGTCACAGTGGATATAGTCTTTCTGGACTTTAAGAAGGCCTTGGACAATGTCTCTCACCCCATTCTCATTAAAAAATTAGGTGACTGTGCCATTGATGCCTACTCAGATGGGTCGCAAATTGGCTGGAGGGCTGCACTCAGAGAGTGGTGGTGGACAGGTCATTTTTGAACTGGAGGGATGTGGGCAGTGGGGTTCCCCAGGGCTCGATCCTCGGGCCCACAGTGTTTAACATCATCAGCAACTTGGACGAGGGGGTGAAAAGCACCTTGTTCAAATTTGCAGATGACACTAAGATGTGGGGAGAGGTGGGCACGCTAGAAGGGAGGAACAGGCTACATCTAGATCTGGACAGGTTACAGGGGTGGGTGGATGAGAATAGGATGGGATTCAACACTGACAAGTGCAAGGTACTGCACCTTGTTACCAAATTTGCCCATTACTTTGGGGTGTGCTCATTTATTAGGGATAGTTTCTAGGGTCTTGGTGATTCTGTCAATGTGCTGCTTGTGTTACTATACGGAGCTGTATTTCTCCCTTCTGCAAGCCCTCACCCCCAATGGAGCTATCTTGCAGGACTCAATCTCAATGGGACTGGGTTCCTCCAGTCACCAAATCAGTCATACACACAAACACACACAAATTAACGTGACACGCCTGACCTGGCCGGGCTGATCAGCATGGACAGGCTGACACCCTCATATGCCAAGAATCAGTTCATAAGAGCAACAATAAAATGCAGTCAAACACAAGCACACAGGTAAACAGAATCCCTCTGAATCCGGCTGGGTGTCCAGCTGACACCCTCATGGGCCAGCATTCAGTTCATAAGGGCACGTCTGAGTCAAACTGGGTCAATCAGCCTGTACAAGCTGATCCCCTTATGTGTTTCAAACTCAGCACGTCCCAATCTTTGGCCTCTTGATGAGCAGACCCCACAATAATTTGGGCTTCACAGGGATCTTTAGCATAGGTAAAAGAAGCGTTGCTGCAGAGCACGGGAGGAAAGAGAAGCAGAGAAGGAAAAATATACCCAATTACTACCAGTTTGACTATAAAAGTTATTTATTGCTAAGCATATGAAATATATAATAGTACTAGTAGTAATAGACATGCAAAAGAAAAACAAACACCAACAATGACAATACTACCCTGGTTTCACTAAGTATTTGGGGAAACTTAGCTCAAGCTTAACTGATACAGTTCAGGTTCAGAAGTTTATGCCTAGAAAGAAGACAGAGAACGCTGGGATCTCACCTAGTCCACGGTACTCAGGCTGCAAAGCTGACAGGCACAGTCCGTAGCACAATCCTTGAAGAGAGAGATGATCTGTTCTTCCAGCGTCCCAAGAACGACAGGGGATGGTGTCAGCACAGGGGTTTTCTTCTTCTCCTTCTTTCCTCCTGCTTCTACTTCTTTTCCTTCCTTTTCCTCTTCTAGCAGCACACACACTTACAGATTTTTATACCCTCAGTTCAGCTGCTTCGAAGCACCCTCAGTAGTGTAAATCATTGTCTTTTCTATTGACAAGGGGTTATCTGGTTTGGACCATCTCAGGAAACTGATTGATAATCAGGAAACACTTAAGATTAGGGAGTAACCCAAATACTTGGGAGCCAGCTTGAAATTCCTATGGGTGGCAGATATACTGATGGGATATCTCATGGTTTCTTCAGGAACAATAGATAGCTTGCAGCATCAGGATTTTGGATTTTTACTTGTTGTGCACAAGCCTCAGCTTAGCATGACTTTTCCAGATCTTACTATAGTCTTTTAACAGACTTAAAACAATTATTGGGGTGCTCATAACCTTTTGTGGAGAGGACTCCCACCAGTCGTCTCGGGAAAGATATGACAACACCTGGGATTAGGGCTCCAGCAGGCTGGATGCTGTGATGAACCCTTAACCATTGTTCAAATGTTGCCCATACCCCCTCTGACTCGGTCTCTTGCCTCAGCATTCCCTAACCCGGCAACCGAGTTTTAGTCAATCAAGTTTAAATAGGCCTCCCATAGTGGGACCGGGGAATGTACGGCCCGAGATGCCTATTAAACTTAGAGCTGTGTGTGTGTGTCTGGGGGGGAAAAGTCCTTAGTAAATCCAGATTAGAACTGGTCTGATAAATGCTGAGCTGGGTGTGTGTGAACATGGGTTGATTAACATTGGAAGCACAGATTCCCCATCATGCAGCGCTCTCCTGCTTCTCTGGTCCCAGAATTCACTGCAGTCTCTGCTTCAGGCTTTCTGTTTTCCATCTCTCATGTAAATGAGACCTAGGGCAGTTGATTCACTCGTCACCCTTATCTGGTGAGGGTCTTAGGTGCGTCTCTCACTGCATCTTAATCAGTTTCGTTTAGGTAGAGGAGGGGAGGGGGGTGAGTCCTTTGTGAGTCAGACAGACTGCATCCTGTACCAGGGTTCCCCAAGAATACAGAGCTGAGACGTAACAACAGGTCTGTTGGGTCAGGGGGATGCTCTAACTCATGGCACTCTAAGTGAAGTGCCATGAGTTAGACCATGAGCCTGAGCTTCTGTAAGCACTCAGAGTCACCCTGCACACCATATCCAACCCTGAGCACTGACCTAGCACATGGGACTGTCTTTCAGCCCATGGGACTCTCCAAGGATCCAGAAATTTGTCACTGGGGAACTGTATAAACTTACCAGGGGTGACCAGCAGGGAACAGGAGAGTCCCTGTTCCCCCGAGCACTACGAGGAGCAACTAGTAATAACAGCCACAAGTTGACTGAGAGTAAGTAGATTCAGGCTAGACATCAGGAGGCACTACTTCACAGTCAGGGCAGCTAGGATCTGGAACCAACTTCCAAGGGAAGTGGTGCTCGCTCGTACCCTGGGAATGCAATCAGGTTTTCATCCACCCACCTTGCAAGCCTATCGAGGTCGACCTGGATCACCACCAGCCCATCCTCAAGTGTGGACACTCTTCCCCAAAGTTTGGTGTCGTCTTCAAACTTAGTCAGTCCACTTCTGACACCAGTGTCCAGATCATTTATGAAGACATTAAAGAGTTCAGGTCCGAGACCAGAGCCTTGGGGGGACACCACTAGTCAATGAGTGCCATTTTGATTCGGTTCCATCAACTACCACTTTCTGGGTCTGACCTTGGAGCCCCAGCCATCAAACTGTGGAGTAACCAAGGCCACAGTTGCCCAATTTTTTCCATAAAGACATCATGGGATACCAGGTCAAAGACTTTTTTAAAGTCCAAATATATGATATCAACCCTCTTCCCTTTTGTCCAGATGATGCATCACCTGGTCATAGAAGGAAATGAGATTAGTCAGGCAAGACCTACCCACAACAAACCCACGCTGGCTATCCCTGTTTGGACCCAGCTCTGGAGCGAGATACATAGGCAGAAGCCCACTGCACCCCCATGAGTCCTAGGACCCCAGTGGACACCTGATGACCCACAGCAAAGCTGGGAGA